GGGGAGAGACAGAGGAAGGAAGAGAAAGAGATAGAGTGAAGGAGAGGAGAAAAGAAAAGAAGGGAAGGAGGAAGGGAGGAAGGAAGGAAAGAAAGAAAGAAAGAGAGAAGAAGGAGAGAGAAAGGGAAGGAAGGAAGGCTAAAAGAGGCGATTCCCTTCATTACAGATTTCACAGCCTGGGATATCTTGACCCAGAGAACTGCAATGGCTTTTCTTTATGAACAGAACTGAACAGAACAGATGACAACCTACAGCATGCTGGTCCTTCATATTCTTCTTCCCGTGTGTGTTTTCATCATCCTGTGCTGACTGGGGTCCAAAGCCAATGGACAGCTCCAATGGTGCTTTTGCATGGCAGGACAGAGGGAGCAGTCAACCAACTAAATGAATATTGCAATGTTGTGATCTTGTAGTAGCAATAGCAGTAGCACTTAGACTTATATACCCCTTCACAGTGCTTTTATAGCCCTCTCTAAGCGATTTACCGTGCCAGCCTCTTTGCCCCCAGCAATCTGGGTCCTCATTTTACCCACCTCAGAAGGATGGAAGGCTGAGTCAACCTTGAACCTGGTGGGACTTGAACTGCCAAATTGCAGGCAACCGGCAGTCAGCAGAAGTAGCCTGCAGTATTGAACTTTAACCACTGCACCACCGAGGCTCTTGCAACACTAGTATTGTGAAAACAGCACAATGAAGATACTGCTGGACAAAAGAAGTGGATTTCTGAATCTACGAAACAGACAGTTCAAGGTTTCCCAACCTTGGCAACCATGCTGGCTGGGGAATTTCGGAAGTAGAAGTCCACATGTCTTGAAGTTGCTAAGATTAAAATCCCCGTATCATTTCTCTGGATTGAGCCACTTTTTTCCCCGCAGAGTAGGATGGCTGGAAAACTGGAAGAATGTTGTCTGGGGAAATTCTGGAGAATTGAAGTCCTTCAAAGTTGCCAAAATTTGGGAAGCCCTGAGATCCTCGGTCATAGGTCTACCTGGATAGAGCATGAAAGCTCTGATTCATTTTTATTTTATTTTATTGTGGTCTCTTTTCTACTCTGAAATATCCTTGACCTGGAAACTATGAGACAGCACAACAAAGTTGCGTATTTGCAAATAGCTGCAAAACGTTTAGCAACTTGTAGGCAGTGCAATTTCAGTTGCTCACTTGTAGCCCAGGGTTCAAACACCTCTACCTGGATGGTTTATAAAAGGGATCATCACCATAAAGAGCAAGAATACTATGCGGTAATAAAATGCTTCCTTTGGGGGGGGGGGAAAATAGCAGCAATAACACACAGCCGGTTTGTGGTAGTGGTTGAGGTGCTAGCCTGAAGGAGACTGGAAGTTCTAGTTCTAACTTAGGTGCATGAAAGTTGACTGGGTGATTTTGGGCCAATCACCAGGAGACTGTGAGTTCTAGTCCTGCCTTAGGCATGAAAGTTTACTCGGTGACTTTGGGCCAATCACCAGGAGACTGTGAGTTCTAGTCCTGCCTTAGGCATGAAAGTTTACTCGGTGACTTTGGTCCAATAACCAGGGAACTGTGAGTTCTAGTCCCGCCTTAGGCATGAAAGCTGACTGGCTGATTTTGGGCCAATCACCAGGGGACTGTGAGTTCTAGTCCCGCCTTAGGCATGAAAGTTGACTGGGGTGACTTTGGGCCAATCACCAGGAGACTGAGAGTTCTAGTCCTGCCTTAGGCATGAAAACCAACTGGGTGACTCTGGACCAGCCACCTTCTTTAAGCCCAACTCTCCTCACAGGATTGTTGTTGTGGGAGAAATAGGAAGAAGAGAGAGTATCAGATATGTTCACTGCCTTAAGTTTATTTATTAAATAATAAAGGCAGGATAACAATCTAATAAATAAGGTAATCCAGGGATGAAAAATTCACTGTAAAAGGCTTGATGAAGGAATAGTGTTGCAAATCATATAAAAAAGGGGGGACTACAATTGTGTAGTCATAGCTACCATTTTGACTTTTTGACAGCCGTTGAAGTCATCCCTGGCTTAGTTGTAGGTCTTTGGCCAAATGCCTGCCAGGCCCTGTTGTTTTTCACTATCTCTAAATGGCTGCTTATGCACAAAAGTAGAATTAATCCACCAGAACATGCAAAAATAAATAAATAAATGCAATGACACCCAAAAACCACAATTTAAACTAACTATGTTTTTCTTCAAAAGGCATCTTATCAGATCTTCGGATAACTTGGTTAAAGTGCTTGTACAAATAAGAAAATTTTGTTTAGAATGTTGTAATTTCCGAAGGGCTTAAAAGAGCTTTTAATATACTGGCCAGTTCATTTGAGCTCTAGAAACTGGGAATATTTAGCTAGTTTATGGATTAAAATACTGTGCTACCTAAGAACACTTATCTAGCTAATGAAAAGAAGGACTGGGGCGAGGCATGATCACAGTCTTCCAATAGCTGTGGGGCTGCCATAAAGAAGAGAGGATCAATCTATTCTTCAAAGCACATGAAGGCAGGACAAGAAACAATGGATGGAAACTAATCAAGGAAAGAAGCAACCTAGAACTAAGGAGACATTTTCTGGTAATGAGAGCAATTAATCTGTGGAATTGCTTTCCTCCAGAAGTTGTGGGTGCTCCACCACAGGAGGTTTTCAAGAAGAGACTAGACAGGCATTTGTCTGGAATGGTATAAGGCCATGATGGTGAACCTATGGCATGCATGCCACAAGTGGTGCGCAGTGCCATTTGTGCTGGCACGCGAGCCGCAGGCAAATGTACCTCACTACGCATGCATGCGCCTCACAGCTGATTTTTTGGCTGGTTTGAGGCCTTTTTTGGCCTCCCAGAAGCTTGGAAAAAGCCTCCGCAAGGCTTTTCAGACCATATAATAGGCCCATTTCATCACTTCCTGTAATACCGGAAGTGACAAAATGGGCCTATTATTTGGCTGAAAAGCCTTGCAGGGGCTTTTTCCAAGCCTCTGGGAGGCCAAAAAAGGCCTCAAACCAGCTGTGAGGTACAGTGTAGGCATGGGAGGGATTGCATGAACATTCGCAGGGGGTGTGGGAGGCATATTGCATTCTGGCTGCTGGCATGCGAGTGCGTGTGCGCTAGTGCACACACAATTTTTTGGCACAGGAGCCCAAAAAGGTTAGCCACCACTGGTATAAGGTCTCCTGCTTGAGCAGGGGGTTGGACTAGAAGACCTCCAAAGTCCCTTCCAACTCTGTTATTCTGTTAAAATGGGCTAATGCATGACCGGGTTGTGTAAATACCACCAATGAGGTTGCAATGTCAAAATATAGAAAAAAAAGTAACTTGCTCTATCTTCCCCAATTCCACAACAGGGTTTTGTTTCTATTGTTCGAAAGTTTATGAACTGGGACATTTGCCAAATGTGTATATCTCTGGCAACATCTGGTGTGGCTCCTCCTGCCAAGAAGGTTGTAAAATATGACACACATTTATTATTCTCTGCAAAAACATCACGCGATTGGGAAGTTGATTGAGCGGCTCAGTTCATGCAGAAGATACAAAACAGCTAATTTATGTTGTCCGCATGGAAGTTGGCAGATGGCCTGAACATCTCTAGGCCAGCTTGCGTTGGGATTGTGACACACCCCTCCGAGTGTATAATTTAACATCAGGGTGGCAGGCAGGCAAGGGGAATGCATGATGTGGGATGGGGCGTTGGAGGGGGGAAGAAAAGGATGAGAGAGGAAGACTGAGAATAAATAACTTATGTTTATAGGGTAAAATAAGGGTCAACCTAAAGCTTATTGTAGGATGAGCAATGACAGCTTTGGTGGAGAAAGGAAGGAAGGAAGGAAGGGAGGAGGAGGAGGAAGGGTGGGAGAGAGGGAAAGAAGGAGGAAAGAAAGGAAAGAGGGAAAGGAAAGAAATGAAAAAAGGAAAGGAAAGGAAAAAAGGAAATGGAGGAAAAGAAAAAAGGAAGGAAGGCAGGAAGAAGGAAAGGAAGGAAGGAACAAAGGAAGGAGGAGGGAGGGAAGGAGGGAGGGAAGGAAGGAAAGAAGGAGGAAAGAAAGGAAAGAGGGAAAGGAAAGAAATGAAAAAAGAAAAGAAAAGGAAGAACAGAAAAGAAAAAAGGGAGGGAGGGAGGAAAGAAGGGAGGGAGAAAAGGAAGAAGGAGGGAGGGAAGAAAAGAAGGAAGAAAGGAAGGAAAGGAAAGGAAGGAAAGAGAAAAAGAAAAGAACGGTAAAAAGGGGAAAAGAAAGAAAGGAAATAAAAGAAAGGAAAGGGAGGAAGAAGGAAGGAAAGAAAGAAATGAACAAGAAGGAAAGACAAAACAGGAAAGAAGAAGGGAAAGGGAAAAAGAAAGACAAAGAACGGAAGGAAAGAAGGAAGGAAAGGAAGGACCCCGTTTTTCAGGCAATCTCTTGTACAGTGTTTCTCTACCTTAGCATCTTTAAGATGTGTGGATGTCAACTCTCAGATCTGGGCTGGCTGGGGAATTCTGGGAGTTGATGTCTACACCTGTTAAACTTGCCAGCATGTGGTCTTGGTAATTCTGGGAGTTGAAGTCCAGATGGTTCAAACTTGCTGAGGTGGATGATAATCAAGGCATCCAACCACCTTTTCACCTACACCTATGCTTCCATTGGGTCTTATAGAGGTACCACAAACGTGACCTACCTTTTAGCCAGTCTCCAAACGCCTTCATATCTCCAGTGACACAGCTCAGGGCTCTCAACATTTGCTGGCAACATTCGCCTGTTGTCTTTTGGGTTTTGTCAGACTTTTCACCCGCGGCGTTGATCTCCATTGTGAGTTTTGGATCCTGCCCGAACAAAAAACAACAAAGCATCTGACTGATTGTGTCCTCTTGAACTTCCTTTTGGCCAGCAATGTGCACCGTCTTTCCATAGGAGTATGAGAAGCAACTCAGAGCAAAACAACCATGGATCCTGCAAGTGTTAGATATTTTCAACAATAGTATGAGACAGTGCTTCTGTCTTCTATAAGACAGAATTCCCATACTGACTTCTGGGGGTTGAAGTCCACACTGGATATAGTTCCAAGTTTCAGAAAAACTACTCTTCACAATTGAAGAGTAGACTCTTCACAAGTCTTCAAACTTGGCCACTTTAAGAACTTGTGGACTTCAATTCCTAGAATTCCTCAGCCAGTTCTGGATGTTGTGGTCCACAAGTCTTAAAGTGGCCAAGTTTGGAGACTCCCTACATGTTTCCTAACTTCAGCAATTTGAAGATGTGCGCCCACTGTCCCATTCAGTCACCTAGCAAAGAAGCTCACCCATCAGCTCATGAAGCTTGCTTGGATAGGTGAGATTCATCCATGACAATGTGTGGTCTTCAACTCCCCAAATCCTGGGAGTTGAGCCATCTTCACATTACCAAGGTTGAGGAACACTATCTTAGATCCATCCTGGGGTACTCGATTGGGAAGAAATTTGAAGGAGCAGTGTAGCAGTTTAAAACCAAAAGTGCATTCCATGCATTTTGCAAAGATTGTAACTAAGCTACTGGAATTTCTGCCTTGAAAATCCCTAGTTGGAGAACGTGATTGATGACTCTCAGCTATGAATGTGTTTTGCTGAAGAATATGAATTATGATACACCCAGAGGGGTGGGGAGAAAAAAGGATCATAGGTGATTGTGAATTACGTGTCTCAGAATCAGCTTCATTACAGGTCATGCCGACATGTTCGCTCCTAGTAAATCCTTTGACATTTTAGTAGCTTGGCTTGAGGCTCATGGTTTAATTAAGGCAAATGCCAGAATCCTGACACCTGAGTGTTGAAGGCAAGGTGTGGATGGATGCCTACCTGGGCTTCCAGCCTCTTCAGGAGTGGCCTACTTTGACAGGGTTCTTGGGCACATGCTGAGCATGGCTGGTGCTTACATTCAGAGTCATAAGACTGGCATCCGTCTGGTGATAGCTGAACTGGGACTAGGAGAGAGGAAGGGTTGGAGGGATTTCCATCCATCTTTGCACGTACGCTAAAGGGCAGAGAGAAGGAAGTCAAGGATAGAGACTCCGCCCTGAGTTTATGATTTTATAGACTCTGGATCAAATGCTCCTAATGATGTTATTTCATTTTATGACCAGGTTGGGAAAAACAGCTCTCAACCGTCAGTCAACCATCAAGGAGTTTTCTCATCCTGACTTTGGGCATGACACACCAACGCAGTTTGCATCTTGTTAAATTAGACTTTAGAGATGGATGAAAGCCAAGTGAGGAAAAGCTGAGATGTCGGTGAAATTCTCAAACTTGGGAAGTGGTTGTCATGCACTTATTGAATAACACGACTGCTAAAAGTATGGCTTTACGTGTCTGCCCTGGCAATTGCCTTAGTTTTCATTTTGTCATCTTGTTTCCATGATTTTCAGCTGCTCACCCTTCCATTAAACCAAGGGTCTTCAAACTTGGCAAGCTTAAGACTTGTGGACTTCAACTCCCAGAATTCCTGAGCTAACATGATTGGAGGAGGAATGTATATTGCACGAGTCAAAAAGAGGGCTGTGAAAATATTTACAGACCCCTACATCCTGGACAAAAACTGTTTCAACTCCTTCCCTCAAAACGACACCAGAACAACTGCACACCAGAACAACTAGACACAAGGACAGTTTTTCCCGAACGCCATCACTCTGCTAAACAAATAATTCCCTCAACACTGTCCAACTATTACAAAGTCTGCACTACTATTACTGTTAATCTTCTCATCACTCTTTATCACCCATCCCCTCCCACTTGTGACTTTATGACTGTAACTTTGTCACTTGTATCCTTATGATTTATATTGACTGTTTCCTAGTATGATTTGATTGCTTATTTGTACCCTATGACTATTATTAAGTGTTGTACCTGATGATTCTTGACTCTCGACAAATGTATCTTTTCTTCTATGTACACTGAGAGTATTTGCACCAAGACAAATTCCTTGTGTGTCCAACCACACTTGGCCAATAAAGAATTCTATCTTCTATCTCTATCTCTATTCTGGGAGAGGTCCACAAGTCTTAAAGCTGTCAAGTTTGAAGACCCCTGCATTAATTAAACTCAAGAGAACCAGCCTAGAAATGAGTATAAATTTCCTGACAGTGAGAACAATGAATGAGTGGAATGACCTGCCTCCAGACGTTGTGATTGCTCCAACACTGGAAGGTTTTTAAGAAAAAATCAGACAACCATTTGTCTGGAATGATATAAGGTTTCCTGCTTGAGCAGGGGGTTGGACTAGAAGACCTCCTGGGTCCCTTCCAACTTTATTGCTCTCTTATTCTTAAAATTAAGGAAAGATACCAGGACACCTGGGAGTCATTTCAAGATTGAGAATTTGGGGCGGATTGAGAGATCCTAAAGTGGGAAACTGTAGCAAGGAAGAAAACCAGATCAACAGCTCAAAGTGAGGTAGAGACTAAGGGAAATCATCTGGATGAAGATATATAATAATACTTATATAAGAATAGTTACAAAAGGGGCTCAAACTTATTTTAAGTATAGAAGGTCCAGATAACATTCAGAAACAGCTCAGTCAAACCCCTTCCTAATTCACAGCAGTATAAGGAGGTGTTCAGGAGGAAAATATATCTATCTGGTTGCTTGCTGGGAGCCAAAAATGACTTAAAGAGACACCAACGATCAAATAAGGGTGAAGAGCTACAACACAGTCAGAATAACAGAATAACAGAGTTGGAAGGGATCTTGGAGGTCTTCTAGTCCAACCCCTTGTTCAAGCAGGAGACCCAATACCATTCCAGGACAAGTGGTTGTCCAATCTCTTCTTAAAATCTCCAGTGATGGGGCACTCACAACCCCTAGAGACTTGCATGGCTATTGTAGCTGATCTCAGTAAAAGTAGTTTCAGTGTTGTGTAGATGAGACCCCCCCAAACACCCACTCTATGGTCTGTTTCCGTTGCTTCCCTCCGGGAGGGAGGATTCATTTTTCTCGCCATGTACACAGGGGTGGGATTCAATTTTTTTAACAACCGGTTCTGTGGGCGTGGCTTAGGTGGTGGGCATGGCTTGGTGGGCATGTTATTGGCTGGGCGAAGCCAACTCAATATCACTCACATCGAGGCATGCATCTCCTCGCCTGGCTTCTCATGACTGTGGGGATGCTGCAACAGTCATAAGTGTGAAAAATGGTCATAAGTCACTTTTTTCAGTGCCATTGTAACTTTGAATGGTCACTCCACACAAGCAAAGTACCAGCAAAGGAGGGGGAAAAAACTCCAGAGAAGTTCCAGAAACAGGAAGTCTAGTCCTGCCAAGAATGTAATAAAGGTTAACGGAGAGACAGTTTCTGTAAGCAACACCAGAATGTTTCCTTCCTGCCTTCCTTACAGGATTAGGCCAGTAATTTCTTCTAACAACTGGTTCTCCGAACTGCTTAGAATGTTAACAACATAAGTGAATAAGTGAGAAGCGGTAGGATCCCACCCCTGGTTTCGAGCCTTGTTCGCAAACACTAGGACACTGATGGCTAATCTTTTCTACATGGTGTGCAATGGCACTGGAAAAAGTAACTTACAACCATTTCTCACACTTATGGCGGTTGCAGCTTCTCCAGAGTCACGTGATCCAAATTCAGATGCTTGGCAACTGACTCATATTTATGACGGTTTCAGCACCCCGGGGTCATGGGATCCCCTTTTGTGACCTACTGACTAGCAAAGTCAATGGGGAAGCTGAATTCATTTTTCAGCCGTGTGACTAACTTAAGAACTGCAGTGATTCGCGAAACAACTGTGGCAAGAAATGGAACCAAACTAGAAGTGGTATTATTCAGCAGGTTCTGACCAGTTCTGGAGAACCGGTAGCGGACATTTTGGGTAGTTCGGAGAACCAGCAAATACCACCTCTGACTGGCCCCGCCAACCCCATCTATTCTCTGCTTCCCAAGTCCCAGATGATCGGCTGGGTCTTTTTTGGTTGCCCTGCACAGGAGAATGGAGCTGGAAAGCAGGTTAGTGGGGTGGGGAGGGAATGGGATTTTGCAGTATCCTTCCCCTGTCACGCCCACCAAGCCATGCCCACAATACCGGTAGTAAAGTTTTTTGAATCCCACCACTGGACCAAACTCACTTAACAAATATTTCGCTCAGCAAAATAGATTTTGGGCCCAACTGTGGTCATAAGTAAAGAACTATCTGTACTTTCTGAGGACTCATCATATCCATCCAGCTATGAAGTTCTGCTTTTTTCCTTCAGTCATCCGTTTCATCTCACATTTTCATTTTATGATCTTCCTCTATTCCTGCCACAAGACCATTTTAATTTACCTCTTTTGTACAAATGGCTCCTTTTTGTGTTCAAAGTCCATTCAGCCCTCATTTATTGTTGATCCTGTCCCATTTTTCATTACGTATATTTCTTAAAGGGCCTCTAAACAGACCAAAAATGCAGGCCTGTCCAAGGAATGTTATTATTCTGCTGTCCTCCTAAAATTGCCCATCCTTAAAGCATCCACGGAATTCGGATTACTGAATACGCTAATGCAATTTTTTATTTTTATGCATCTGTCAAGTTTGAATCTTTGGAATAGAGTTTATTGTAAAGTTTGTGCGAAGATTTTTATGTTGTTTCTTCAAATAATTCCAGTTTAGAGTTTTGTTTGAAATCTTGTCAAACATGCAGATTTTTTTTTTTTGATCAACAAGCAATGCTTTTTTGGATGTTACTATTTTGAATACATGTATATTTTTTTAAGTATCCAGCTAAATTACAAGATTAAGGAAAATGCAATGAAAAAGGTCTCTCTGTATCGATTGAAGATGTAAAATTACATGTTTTATTCAAGATAGGAAATGCTCTTGCTTTTCCTTAGATTGCACACATAGAATAGCGGACCCTGCATTATAATTTATAATTATACATTTTATAAATACCTTGATGTGTGCCAGGCACAATGACATACACATATCTGGAACACCATGAACGTTATATACACAGCTAATAAACCTGACTAGTTTATTTGCTAATTGATGAAGAAAACTGTGCTAGTTTATAGAGCCAATTTTGGATAAGAGAGACAATATATGGTGCATAAGCGCACCAACGTGCCTACCGTCCCTGTCCTATTGTTTCTTTTATTATTATTTTTTCCTTATATGTATCCGTGTATTCATAGCTATGTTTTTACTTATACCTATTATCTTATAAGCAATTGACAAAAATAAATAAATAAAATAAAATAAATAATTATACATTTTAGGTGATGGTGAAGATGAAGATACATCTATGAAATGGAACTCTCTCTGTATTCATATTATCTTGGGGAAAAAAGAATTAACAACATTGTTCTTTTATCAGTAGCATTAACACTATAATTTCCAACAACCAGGTAGGTTGCTGAGCACTTACTAGTTCTCTTGAATTTTTGATGAAAGATATGGTTCTTTACACCAGTGTTTCTACCTGAGGAATTCTAGGAGTTGAAGCCCACACATCTTAAAGTTGCCAAGGTAACTTTAAGATACCCTGCCTTAGAGAATTGATTGTTGTCATTTATTATGGTGTCCATACAGAATCGTTCCATTTCTAGGTTAAGCCATTAGGTTAGAAACTAGGAGATGGTGAGTTCTAGTCCCACTTTAGGCACGAAAGCCAACCAGGTGACTTTGAGCCAATCACCAGGAGACTGTGAGTTCTAGTCTCACTTTAAGCGTGAAAGCCAGCTGGATGACTTTGGTCCGGTCGCCAGGAGACAGTGAATTCTAGTCCTGCTGAAGTCCTGAAAACTGGCTGGGTGACTTTGGGCCAATCACTAGTAGACAGTGAATTCTAGTCCCACATTAGGCACAAAAACTGGCTAGGTGGCTTTGGACAAATCACCAGGAGACTGTGAGTTCTAGTCTCACTTTAGGCACGAAAGCTAGCCACGTGACTTTGGGCCAGTCACCAGGAGTCAGCAAGTTCTAGTCTCACTTTAGGCACGAAAGCCAACTGGGTGACTTTGAGCCAGTTACCAGGAGACCA